TCATATACATGATCCAATTAAGAATCGTTCATCAAGATTAGGGTTTGTTCCTTTGGCTCACATCAACCATGACGAGCAGTGTCAAGCATGAACATCTCTCAACCTCAACGACCGTACATGATCGAGTCATCAAGGGTTGTTTCCTCCTAAAAGAGACCACAAAAGCATTCATTGATCTCAAAGCTTTCCAGGTCGAATCAGATTCGGTTTCCTTCTTGATAACTTATCAGATAAATGTAGAGATTCGTAACAAAAACCTCGATGAACACATGTTCGTTCTTAAACCCCTCAATCCTGTATTCGAATTCGAATACAACATCCCGAAACAGTAACTTGTCTCGCAAGAAACATGCTTTGATCACGTCATGATCATCTTGTCGGAGTTTCGTCTCCTCCCTTGTGTCCAACAACGTCTTGTCAGTTATATCTCAACAGAATCCGTTAGTTTCAGCAACCTTAACCGCGGCGAAGAAGGAGGTTTCACAGTCGAAGTCAACGTTAATGTCAACGTAGAACAGTTGGTGAGGATTGGAAATTGCGACAAGGAAAATTGTCGGGTCCGGGCAAGACGCGAGAAAACTGAAGACGGTGGAGTGTTCTATATGCTTAACGAATTATCGCGTGCGGTGAGTCGCATGAAGTTTCAGTGCTCCCACGTTTTCCATAGAGATTGTGTGATGAAGTGGCTGAAGAAGAACCCTTCTTGCCCTATTTGCCGAGCCAATATTCTTGAAAAACCTGTTTCTCTCTTTTAGCTTATGGTTTTATAAAACTACAATCTAAATTTAATGGTTTTCGATTTATTTCTTGTGTAGAAGATAATTCAAATTTGGAACCTTCTAAATATGCATCACTTGGTTTCAACTGGTTAATACTCTAAGCTAATTTTAAATATTGAATAAATAACTTATATCATTCAACTCTATGCTATTTTGTCAAGAAAGCCAACGATCAAAAACATTATTTCACTATTGAAACCAAAATAGGGTTAAAATTCAAACTTCGGTAACCAATGCATATGTCAGCCGATTTAATGATATGCTTTTTGAAGATGATTAGTATGTTATTCAGAAAAAAATGTTTTTGCCAAGCAACCGAGATGAACAAGATTCCATCAAAAGGTGACAAAAAGTACTTCGAGTTCACCAATTTCCACAGTACTTAAAGGGATAGGATACCAAAGTATAAATATACATATACATATAATTTTTACAAAAATCGAGCTAAATCCAAACCAAAGACTAGATCATAGTTGTGTCAAACCAAACAAAAACCAAATCATATTACATATAGTTTTTGTGATTTTAGATTTTATAAAATTGTAGACCGGAGACACCAAAATGAAATCAAATCGTAAATCGTATTGTTTCGTGTTTACCCCAAGTAAAATTATATTTCAAAATCATTTGACCTCTCATTGAATTAAATATTTATAAACGTATATAAACCTTATGTTATTCACTTAACTATCAGTTTTTAAAAATAAAATAATTTGAAAAAAAAACTAAGGATGATACTTGAGATGATCCATGTATGGTTAATTATTAATAGAAAATTGAGAGCAAATGTAAGTAAACTGATGAAGATGAATTTAGATTCCGCTTCTGGTTATTGCCAATTTAGTTTTAAACCGGTGATTGTGATTTTGGTTTAAAGCTGGATTTATCCTCTACTAAAAGAAAAGAAGTTAAAAATCAGTAAAGCTATTTCCCAATCTTTTTAAAAATCATTAAACTAACGTAATTTAGGAAACAGCGTTATTTCATTACTAATCCTAAACGTATTTTAAAAATATAAACTTCCTAATCCTACATCTTTTCATACCTACAAAAAAAAGCAGTATATATATATATTTGAGAGCCAATAAAAGTAAGTGAATAATCAACTAAAGATCATATATAATACAAACAAACGTTCTATATATGTTGAAGAGTTTAGGGTTTTGTTGTATGCCGGAATCAGCCATGGTTACCAGCTTCAATCTACCGGAATATGTTGCTACCAAAGAGCGAAACCGTACGTGTTTCCTCGAGTCAGAGACAACCAAAGAATGCATTAATATCAAAGCTTCTCCGGTAAACTCAAAGTCGACTTCAACGTTTTTCTTGTCGGTAATCTATCAGAAAATTCATAAGTTTCGTAATGGAGATCTCAATGGACACATATTCCCTTTACCACTTCGACATCTCGATGATACTAAACTTCAAGTAGTTGAACGTAAAATTCCGAAACAGTTTCTCGCCACCGAAGAAACATTCCGTGATCACATTACAATGGTTTTGTCGGAGTCGTGTCTCGAACGTTCTATTCAGGAACGTCTTCTAACTCATATCTCCGAATTAGAAATCACTAAAGCGAGAAGTTATATAAAAGGTTTCAAGATCGAAGTCAAGATTAAAGTTAAAGTGGATCATATGGTGAACATTGGATGTGGCTGCAAGGGAAAAGAAGCTTGTCCGTGGCCAGTGGCTTGGGAAAAACGCGTGGCGACACGAGTGGTTGGAATGGATTGTCCTATATGCCTGACGGAATTATCGAGTTCGGTGAGTCGCATGGAGTTAAGTTGTTCTCATGTTTTCCACACAAACTGTCTCATGAAGTGGCTCAAGGAGAACACTTCTTGCCCTATTTGTCGTTCCGAACAACCTGGCGAAACCGCTTCTATCTATTAGCTTTTGTGGATTGTACTTGTGAAACTTGTTACGGCTTTGTGTTCTGTTTTTCAAATTTATAGAGATGAAATGCACCGCTTTGTTCTCTCAGCATCTTTCTTTTTTTAAACGACCTGTGTGTCTAGAGAGACCCAAAGAAAAGTTTCAAGAGTATGATGAATAAATCATGAGCCTATCCATAATCACAAAATTAAAGTAAGGAATCGAATTGCATTATAAGTTCTGTTCTTCGTTAGTTGTAGATTCTTTTCCGATATTTTCTAGCTGATTCCGAGCAAATCGTCTCAAGAGCAGTTATCGTTGTTGTTTCATGATCGCTGTAAAGTCAGACGTAAAACATATTATGATTGGAAGTAATTAATTTCTTTGGTTGTAATCGATAATACATGAACGTATCAATAACCAAATTTAAGTAAGGAATCAAATAGGAAGTAGTAAACATAAGATTTGCAACAAATACAAGTAAAAAAAAATTAATGATACAATACAATCAAAGATCAAGAACTTTCTTCTTCGTTAGTTCTTGATCTTGGTTCGTAGATTCTTTTCGGACTTTTCTAGCTGATTCAATGCAAGTCATCCCAGGAGCAATTATTGTTATTGTTATTGACATTGTTGTCATTTGTTGCGGTTGGGGCGGCTGTAGAATCGGCCGGGAATAGTGAAGCGAATTGATGAACATCAAGAACAAGATTGTCGTCGGTGACAACAGATGATTGTCCATTAGAGATCTCTCCACTATCACTTCCCCAGTCAAGAAGCTTAGCTATGTCCTCTTGCATTGTGTTCATTTGAAGAGACTCTTCTTCCTTTGATTTCAAATCTGCATTTTTAGTTAAAAACATTTTAAATTTTACCTGGAGAGAAGTGTAGTTTAGATTTGAAGCGTTTTGAGCGGTTTTAATATTACCTTGTAAGGAACATAAGTTTTCAGAGGTATCATATTGTCCGAAACTAACCGAGAAGAAGTTGTCA